CTCTATTTCTGTGTTTGTTACTCGGCATAGTTAATTCTTCTTGCGTCACTGTGCGTTTTTTTTTTTTCTTTTCTTTTTTTTTTTTATTTATACTGTGTCCGTGTTAAGTGGACTGCCTGCTGTTGGAGGAGCCTTGGAGGCTTGAGATGGGTGCGGCCTGAGAGCTCTGCCTGGTTCTTCCAGGTTAAGGGTGTGCAAAGGTGACACCCTCAGGTTATGCGTGGTAAATCTCTCTCTTTTTATTTATTTATTTATTTTATTTATTCAGGGGGTAAGTAACACCGCAGGGCAAGGCTGTGCAGAATTGATGGTATTTAGCTTCCAGTCTTTGGCTCCTCTGGACTCCCACTGGGTTGCCTAGGCTACTGAATTGTAGTGACTCAGTTCCTTAGCTCTCCCCCATTGATATGTAAATCCAGAGCGCAGGCCTGCTCTTTGTCTCTTGGGAATTCTAGCCTTCCAGCCTTGTAACCTTTGCAAGGTTAGGGGGAAGAGAAACCCCAAAGCTTTTTTTTTTCCCTTCTTTCAGGTAGTGAGTTTGCTGCACTTTCCGGACCCCCTCTAGATTCTGACCCCCGTTTCCCCACCAATGTCTCGGGTTATTGAGCTCACCTCCCCTTCCAGCGCCGATGTGTGGAGCGTCCCAAGTCTCCCCGCTGTTGTCTGTGTGGCATGCACTCCCCTTGGAGCACTGGGGCTTCTGCGGCTCCGTCCCGCGACTTGGCTTCCGCGCGCGTGGTGGGCGACCTTGTTCTCCCAGTAGGTCCTCCGATTCACGATTCCCGTGCAATTTTTTCCTGGTTCTTTTTTCTGCGGCTACCGTAACTCCCCTTTTATTAAACTAAATTTTCCCGGACTATCAGTGCGCGCCCTCACTATTCCGCCATCTTGGCTCCGCCCTCTCACTGGGATTAAACATGACAATAGGTCTGATCTGATTTCATCATCATTTAAAAAAAAAATCATCTATTATTTTTCACTTTATGTTTCTGTGTGGGAGCAAACTGTTGAAATACTTACTTAAGGTATACTAAGCTGATCTTCTGTATATTAAGATAATCGAAAATGAATCTTGATGTGAATGGAAGGGGAGAGGGAGTGGGAAAGGGGAGGGTTGTGGGTGGGAGGGACGGTATGGGGGGGAAGCCATTGTAACACATGAGTCGTACTTTGGAAATTTATATTCATTAAATAAAAGATTAAAAAAAAATTATCCCAAATGTCTACGTACATATACTAGTACACAGGTCATATAAGTAGACATTTTTTAAGAGATGGGACCTCATGCATGATCTTTTAATATTATAATTTCTTTAATTTTTCTTGAATTAATAGAAGAAAAGCAAAGTCAAATATAACTAAAGAAATTGTTGAACTTTAGAGATGGATTTTTGTTACCTAAAAGAATTTCTCTAAAATGTAGAAAAGATAGTCTGAAAACCATTAAAAATCTAGAGCTAACACATTTCAACTGTATAGAATAAGACTTCTTGGGGCCGGCACTGTGGTGCAGTGGGTTAAAGCCCTGGCCTGAAGTGCCAACATCCAATATGGGTGCCGGTTCTAGTCCTGGCTGCACCTCTTCCGATCCAGCTCTTTGCTATGGCCTGGGAAAGCAGTGGAAGATGGCCCAAGTCCTTGGGCCCCTGCACCGGCTTGGGAGACTCAGAAATTCCTGGCTCTTGGCTTTGGATCGACGCAGCTCTGTCCACTGTGGCCATCTGGGGAGTGAACCAGCGGATGGAAGACCTCTCTGTCTCTACTTCTCTCTGTAACTCTTTCAAATAAATAAATCTTTTTTTTTTAAAAAAAGAATAAGACTTCTCTTTTTTTTAAAAAATGATGTATTTATTTGTTTATTTGTAAGGTATAATGACACAGAGAGAGGAGACAGAAAGAGTGATTTCTTGCTGGTTCATTCTCCCAGATGCCCATAATATCCAAGGATAGGCCAGGCCATAACTAGGACCAAAGAGCTCCATCCAGTTCTCCCACAAGGGCGACAGGGACCCAGGTACTTGTACTGTCATCTTCAGCCTCCCAGGTACATTAGTGGGAAGCTGGATCTGAAGCTTAGGGTACCTGGGACTCAAACCAAGCATTATGATATGAGATGCAAGTGTCCCAGGTCGGATTAATCTACTGCACCAAAATTCCCACCCTGGAACAGATTTCTCAATAGGGAATATATAGGATTAATATTTTAGAAATGTTTTCCCACTTTCTTGCCGTGACCCATTGATTATTTTTGGTTATAGATTTACACTATTGGTTTAGAGTAGAATTGTCTCTTGATCTCTTGATATCCACAGTGAACTGATTCTTTTTTTTTTTTTTACCCTTTGCTCATATCCATATTATTTTTTTTTAACTTTTATTTAATGAATATAGATTTCCAAACTACAGCTTGTGGATTACATTGGCTTCCCCCCCTCCCAATGACTTCCCTCCCACCCGCAACCCTCCCCTTTCCTGCTCTCTCTCCCCTTCCATTCTTATCAAGATTCATTTTAAATTTTCTTTATATACAGACGATCAGTTTAGTATACAATAAGTAAAGATTTCAACAGTTTGCACCCACATAGAAACACAAAGTGAAAAATACTGTTTCAGTACTAGTTATAGTATTAAATCTCAATACACAGCACATTAAGGACAGAGATCCTACATGAGGAGTAAGTGCACAGTGACTCCTGTTGTTGACTTTACCAATTGACACTCCTGTTTATGGCATCAGTAATCTCCCTATGCTCCAGTCATGAGTTTCTAAGGCTATGGAAGCCTTTTGAGTTCACCGACTCTTATCTTATTTAGACAAGGTCATAGTCAAAGTGGAAGTTCTCTCCTCCCTTCAGAGAAAGGTACCTCCTCTTTGAAGACCCGTTCTTTCCATTGGGATCTCACTCGCGGAGATCTTTCATTTAGTCCTATACTATTATTGTTGTTGTATTATTTATGCCAGAAGTGTTCTTGGCTTTCCATGCCTGAAATACTCTCATGGGCTTTTCAGCCAGATCCGAATGCTTTTAGGGCTGATTCTGAAGCCAGAGTGCTGTTTAGGACATCTGCCATTCTATGGGTCTGCTGTGTATCTCGCTTCCCTTGTTGGATCGCTCTCCCCTTTATTTATTCTATCGGTTAGTATTAGCAGGCACTAGACTTGCTTATGTGATCCCTTTGACTCTTAGTCCTTTCATTATGATCAATTGTGAACAGAAATTGATCACTTGGACTAGTGAGATGGCATTGGTACATGCCACCTTGATGGGATTGAACTGGAAACCCCTGGTATGTTTCTCACTCTACCATTTGGGTTAAGTCAGCTTAAGCATGTCCCAAATTGTACATCTCTTCCCACTCTTATTCCCACTCTTATGTTTAGCAGTGATCACATTCCAGTTAAATTTCAACACTTAAGAATAACTGTGTATTAATTACACAATTAAACCAGTAGTATTAAGTAGAACAGACAAAAAAAATACTAAGAGGGATAATGTATTAAGTTGTTCATTAACAGTCAGGGCTATGCTGATCAAGTCACCGTTTCTCATAGTGTCCATTTCACTTCAACAGGTTTCGTTTTTGGTGTTCAGTCAGTTGTCACCGATCAGGGAGAACATATGATATTTGTCCCTTTGGGATATCCCATAATTTCTTTATCCAGTCTACCGTTGATGGGCATTTAGGTTGGTTCCAGGTCTTAGCTATTGTGAATTGAGCTGCAATAAACATTAGGGTGCAGACCGCTCATAGTGAACTGATTCTAAGACCCTCCCCACACCTGCTATGGATACTGAAGTCTGAAGATATTCAATTCCTTCATACAAAATTGTATAGTTTTGTATATAAACTACACATACCTTCTTGTATACTTCCCATCATCTTTAGATTACTTATAAAGCCTAATACAATGTAAATTCTATGTAAATAATTGTTATACTGTATTGTTCAGTACAGATACAGTTTTCTTTTCCTGAATATTTTCTGTCTCCAGTTGCTTGAATCTGCCAATGTGAAACCAGTGGACACAAGAGGGCTGCTGCAGTCACGTTTCTGAGGTGCAACCATAATATCCACACTTGTTTAGTGTTTGTTCCCTTTTCCCAAGGTTTCTCCAATAGCTACCATGAAAGTTAGATAGAATTAGGGGCCAGCATTATGGTGCAGGAGGTTAAGCCATGCCTTGTGGCATCAGGATCCCATGTTGAAGTGCCTGTTAGAGTCCTGGCTATTCCACTTCTGATCTAGCTCCCTGCTAATGTACCTGGGCAGGCAGTGAAGGTGGCCCAAGTGCTTGGGTTCCTGACACCCAGATGGGAGGCCAGGATTGAGTTCCAGGCTCCTTGGCCTCAGCCTGGCCCAGCGTCGGCTGTTGTGGCCATTTGGGGAATAGACTAGCAGATGGAAGATCTCTCTCCCTCTCTCTGTCACCTTGCCTTTCAAATAAATAAATTAAATCTCAAAAAATTACTAGCATAATAATTTTATTAAATAAATATGATTCCTGAGGTATTTACAATGATTTATATCTTGGGTATATGGTTTTTAAAATAAAGAGCTCATTGATACTCTTTCAATTCAATTTCTTTTGTTTTAAGTTATACAGGTTTATTTATTTATTTTTAAAGATTTATTTATTTACTTGAAATTCAGAGTTACACAGAGAGAGGAGAGACAGAGAGAGAGAGAGAGAGAGAGAGAGAGAGAGGGAGGTCTTCTGTCCAATAGTTCACTCCCCAGATGGCCGCAATGGCCAGAACTGCGCCGATCCGAAGCCAGGAGCCAGGAGCTTCTTCCCAGTCTCTCACTCGGGTGCAGGGACCCAAGGACTTGGGCCATCTTCTACCATTTTCCCAGGCTGTAGCAGGGAGCTGGATTGGAAGTGGAGCAGCCGGGACTAGAACCGGCACCCAAATGGGAAGCTGGTACTTCAGGTCAGGGTGTTAACATGCTGTGCCACAGCGCCAGCCCTGTTTTTATTTTATTTTATTTTATTTTATTTTATTTTATTTTATTTTATTTTTTCAATTCAATTTCAATATATCTCTTTTAATTCAAAATCTTTTTCACTTTTGTTTATGGTAATAATTTCCATAATTTCTATGATGGAGAAGACAGAGACTGTCTGGGTTTTACTCCTTTCCTAAAATGTTGTGTTTTCATTTTCTTTTCTGTTTTTCCTGTCTGCCTGTAGTACTTAGTCTCTGTTTTCTCTCTCTTGAGTATTCTTTGTTCTGAAGTTTAATTACCACGAGTTTTACAGTGTTGGTTGCTCTGCATCAATGTTTCACTAAACATTCGAGAGTTTCCTATTGATCTGTGGTTTCAGACCTTCCTTGATTTTCCATTCTTTACCATCCCCCCCTTGGGGGTTCTCCACTTCAAGAATCCCATTTATGCTTATGTTTCATTGTCTTAGTGAGTTCAGGCTGATAGAAAGGTTACCCTTGACGGGTGGCTTATACATGACAGACGTTTATTTCTCCCAGCTTTGGAGATTGCGCAGTCCAAGATTAAGGTACCAGTAGTCCCAGCATCTGGAGAGGACCCATTTCCACACTCACAGGTGTGGCCTCATGTGGTAGAAAGAGTGAGGGAGTTCCTAGTGGTTCTTTTATAAGGGCACTAACTCCATGCATGAGAGCTCTGCCTGCACAACCTAGTTATCTCCCAAAGACTCCACCTTGGGTGGTTAGGATTTGGACATATGAATTTCTAGGCAGAGGTTAGGTGGGAGTGTGGACCTAGACATTTAGTCTCTGGCACTGATCACTCTTTCCTGACCTCACTATTCATCTTCTCAGCAATTACTAGAATCTTTGCATTTTTTATAATTCATTAGCATTACTATAATTCTTCTTTCTGTGCCATTAATATGACTTTTAGCAATGCTCTTTATCCCTTGCTGTTCATGATTTATTTAGAATCCCTCTAATGTTCATATGATAGTTATCAATTCATTTCATTCGCTTGACAATCTCCCTCAACTTCATTCCATAATTTTGTCATTTTATTTTTAATGCTTATTTAATAAACTTATATTCTTCTTATTTCCATCATTCCAAATAAATTTAGGCAATCCCACTCTCTGGAGTGACACTGTTTTCTAGAGTGGGATATTTTTCTCTCTGTATTTCTTGTTGATAGTAGTATGCATGTACGTAGTAGATAGTATAAAATGTAGTATGTTGTATAGTGGCTACACTCTTTCCATCTTGTTCAGGTCACATGGATAGCTCTCTGCCTCTGCAACTCAGGTAGTATACATTTATATTTTTCTCTCATGGCTCTATTTTTAGGCCTGCTTTCTATTTTCAAATGATTATTGTAATTTTTGTTGGGGGGGGATAAAGTTTGAATGTCAAGATTCTGAGACTGAATCAAGGAAATTAAAGACCTCTACAACAAAATTATAAAACACTCATGAAGGAAACTGAAGGAATATTGCCTATGTTAATGGGTTGGAAGAATTAATATTGTTGAAATGGGCTTATTCCCCACAAGGATTATTTTCAGATTCAATGCAATTGCCATCAAAGGGTCAGTGATAGTTTTCACAGAACTGGAAAAAGATCCTAAAATTCATATGAAAACACAAAAGACCCAAAATAGCCAAAGCAATCTTGGACAAAAAGAGCAAAGCTGGAGACATTTGATTTTAAGAAAAACAGATAAGCGCGGCAGTGGCATAATAGCAGATACATAGAGTGGTGGAACACAAAAGATCCCGGAAATTAATCCATGCATGTACAGCCAACTAATTCTTGATAAAGGCACCCAAAACACACAACATAGAAAGGACAGCTTCTTCAATAATTTTTGCTGGGAAAACTGGATATTCATACACTGAATACTGAAACTTGCCTCCCACCTCAAACTTCTCACAATGTACAAAAATCAACACAAAATGGACCAAAAACCTAAATGTAAGGCCTGAAACTATGAAACTACAAAATGAAAGCAAGGGATATCTTTCAAGACTTTCGTATAGCCAATGATACTTTGGATAAGACTCTAAAATCACATAGAGGAACATACAATTCTATTGATTATATAAAACTCAGACATTTCTGTGTATCAGAGGAAACAACAGAGTGAAGAGACCACTTACAGAATGGGACAAAAGATTTGGGAAGTTTTCACCTGTCAAAAGACTAATATCCTGAATAAATCAGAACTAAAAACTCAACAACAACAAAATTAAGAATGAAGTAAATAAGTGCAAAAAGGGATCTGAATAGACATGCCTCAGAATAAGAAATACAAATCACCAACAAATACATAAAAAATGTTCCCCATCTCTAGCCATCACAGAAATGCAAATAAAAACAATGGTATGTCATTTCACTCCAGTTAGAATGACAATTATCTGAAAGACACACACAAAAAAGATAACAAATGCTGGCAAGAGAAATGGGAACCCTTATATACTACTGGTAGGAATTCAAATTAGTACAGCCATGATGGAGAATAGTATGGAGATTTGTCAAAAAAAAACCTCATATGATACATCTATCCCACTTCTGGTTACTTATCCAAAGGAAATTAAATAGCACATGAAAGAGATACCTGTACTCACATGTTTATTACAACACTAATTCACAATAGCCAATACATGGAACCAACCAAGGTGTCCATCAACAAATGAATGGATAAAGTATGGTATGCATACATAATGAAATATTATTCAGCCATAAAATAATGAAATCCTGTCATTTGTAGTAAAATAGGTGAAATTAGGTGAAATATAGCAGAAACAAAATGACAAGTGCTTCATGTTCCCTCTTATATGTACAAGCTAAAAAAAAGTCAATATGATCTTATAGTAGTGATTACTGGAGGCTGAGAAGGTTGGAGGAAGGTTGGATAATGGGTACCAATACACAATTTTATGGAAGGAATAAGTTTTGATTTTATGAGCAACTAGTAGAGGGGTGCTTGAAGGTGCCAATCATAAAGAAATGATGAGGAGAGGCTAGCGCTGAGGCGTAGTGGTGTAAAGTTGCCACCTGCAGCACCGGCATCCGACACGGGCACCAGTTTGAGTCCTGGCTGCTCCACTTCTGATTTGGCTCCCTGCTAATATGCCTGGGAAAGCAGCAGAAGATGGCCCAAGTCCTTGGGACCCTGCACCCACATTGGAAACCCAGAAGAAGCTCCAGGCTCCTGGCTTCAGATCAGCCCAGTTCCAGCCAGTGTGGTTATTTGGGGGAGTGAACCAGAAGATGGAAGACCTCTTTCTCTGCCTCTCTCTCTGCCTCTCTGTAACCCTACTTTTCAAATAAATAAATAAATAAATATTTTTTAAAGAAATGGTATGGAAATGGTAGCTACCCTGATTTGATCATGTATACATATGTTGAAATATCACACTATAACCCATAAACATGTAGAGTTATTACATGTTAATCAGAAATTTAAAAAAACAGTACTAGACTGGGGACTGATAATTTTTCTCCAAGAGTATTTTGAGCTTTGCCTTTCAAGAGACCCATGTGCACATAATATTTTATATTATGTCCATTAGACCCAGCCACAGTATAGTCACTCGTAGTGTGCTTGGATCATTTCTGCGATTTTACATAGGGCCTTTGCTTCAATTTCTTCTGAAGATATTTTTCTACTTTCTGGAGGGATGAATAACCATGCCTGGTCTGCACCCAAAAGTCTTTGTAAACTTTGAAAACTTTAAATTCCTGTCATTTTGTCAATTCATTTTCTCTCCCTCTTATTTTTGTTGATAAAAATCCAGCTGTTTTATCATTAATTAATATCCATGTTTATGTATGATAACTTCCCTTGGTCTGTAATCTGCTTAGTCTAAACTCGGTGTAGCTACTTCTGTGTTCTATTGACCAATGTTAGCATGGTACATCTTTCTTCATCAACTTGTTTTTAATCTATGGGTGTCTTCATATTTGAAATGGTCTTCTGGTGGACAATGTACAGTTGGATCTTATTCCTTGACTGACTCTGACAATCTCTGTCTTTATGTTGGTGCATTTAGGCCATTGAAATTCAATATGGTTATTGATGTAATTGGGTTAATTTTTTTTACTATTTTCCATTTTTTTTTTCATTTCTATTTTTGTGCTCCACTCTTTTTCTACCTTTTGTGGATTTCCAGACTTTAGAACTGCTGTGGTCACCATGCAACCTATTTGGGCAGAAGTCTCTGTCCTTTGCAGGAGACCCAAGTGAAGAGACCCTGGCAAGAAGAAAGGAATCTGAAATGGAAGATTTGGAAGATCACCGTGGTCTACAGCCATATCCCCCTGAAGGTACCCAATCTCAACTGAGAGATCACTGTGGTCTATGGCCATACCCCCCTGAACTCCCCGGATCTTAACTGAAGGATCACTATGGAGACTGGTATTCCCATATGGGCACTGGTTTGAGTCCCAACTGCTCTGCTTCCTATCCAGTTCCCTGCTATTGCACCTGGTAAAGTAGTGAAAGATGGCCCAAGTGCTTGGGCCTCTGCACCCATGTGGGAGATCTGGAAGAAGCTCCTGGCTCCTGGGTACAGTGTGGCTCCCTCCTGACCATTGCAACAATTTGGGGAGTGAACCAGGGGATGGAAGATTTCTTTCTCTCTCTCTCTCTCCCTTCTTTTCAAATAAAAATAAGATACATCTTTAAAAAGATAAGAATGTCTTGTGATTAAATAGAGGCAGCACTAATGTCACCAGACCATCATGGAAAGGGATCAGGCTCTATCACAGCTGCTGGAGTATCAGCCTGGATATGGTACTTAGTTCCAATGGTAATGTCTTGTGGAGCATGGCTCCACTCCTACGCTGATATCTACCGTGTCTAGGTGAAGAGATTAAAGTCTGTGGCCAGAGATCTTGGAATATTACAGAAAATTTCTTCCAGAATCAAAACTGGAAATGAATGGAAGGATAACATGTGTCACTTTTTCAACTTGTTTACAAGTATGGAAATGTGATCTGGTGGCCAGATATTTCATGGACCTCTTGTTATGAAAAGAAGTGGGCAATGCAAAATCAGTTTAGTCTGCTATCATTCTTTAGAATGTCTTATCATAGACAATAAAAGAATTGGGCCCTTATTGCTTAAAAGAAGAGATTTTAATTTCTTTCTCCTGTAACTTGTATAATAATGTCACTCATTTGGCTTATACATAGCAGATAAGTGTATGTGTGTTCCACATCTAAGATTCAGCCAACAAAGAATGGAGAATATTAAAGAAAGAGATTATATCTGCACTAGATATGTACATTTTTCCCTAATAAGTATTCTCTAAACAATACAGTATAACAACATTTTGAATAGAATTTCTATGTTGTCTAGAGAAGATTTAAAGTATACTGGATGGGGGCCTGGCACAGTGGCATAGCAGGTAAAGCCACCGCCTGCAGTGCCAGCATGTCATATGGGCACCAGGTCTAGTTCCAGCTGCTTTTCTTCCAATTCAGCTCTCTGCTATGGCCTGGGAAAGCAGTAGAAGATGGCCCAAGTCCTTGGGCCCTTGCACTCATGTGGAAGACCAGGAAGAAGCTCCAGGCTCCTGGCTTTGAATCGGCACAGCTCCAGCCAATGCGACCATCTGGGGAGTGAACCAGAAGATGGAAGACCTTTCTCTGTCTCTCTCTCTCTCTGCCTCTTTGTAACTCTGCCTTTCAAATAAAAATAAATAAATCTTTCAAAAAATAAATAAAAAATATACTGGATGGTATGCAAGGATTTATGCAAAATCACACAATTTTCTGTAAGAAACTTGAACATCTACAGATTTGCATATATACTGGGGGTCCTGGAACCAATTAACATAGATACTGAGATACAACTGTGTATAAAAGCATACAATATATTGCTGCCATTACTTTTTGAATCAATTGTTGCCTTTTTTGGCCAATTAAGAATAAGAAAAATAAAAATTATTTTTTATCTTCACTTACTTTTCTCTAATAACCTCCCTTTCTTTATGTAGCTCCACATTTCTAATCTTTATCATTTTCCTTCTTGCTCTATAATTTCTACAGAAAGCTTTTATTTAATAAATATAAATTTCATAATCAAAGTGGAAGTTCTTTATAATTTTTAAAAATATTTTCATAAGCAGGTCCTGATTGCTAGATATGATGTACTGGTTAAAAGGAAGAGCTATAGAAAGAGCTTTATTAATGCAATGGTGAGATGGGGTGAGAGTGGAGCATTCTATAGTCCTATGGGTAGGTCTCTGTCTTGAAGTGAGTCTGTAGTACTGGACCATGAACTTCACAAGTGTTTCTCAGGCATTTCAATTCCCCTGATATGAAGCAGGATGACCAAAGGGGGCTGGAGTGGGGAATTTTTTTATTCCAGGTCAGATAGTCTCTGAAAAAGCCCTATCAGTTATATTCAGCCTATATTCTTTATGATGTTTAGTTACATGGATTTATTTAGTTTTATACTGATTTCAGTTTACTCATCTTAAATGAATAAATTTTTGTCTTCACCAAATTTGAGACATTTTCAGCTATTACTCTTTCTAGATTTATTTATGTGAAAGGCAGAGTGACATAGACAATGGGAGAAGTGCAGGGAGAGGAGGAGGATGAGTTGGAAAGGGAGAGAGAGAGTGCAAGAGAGACATCTTCCATTTGCTGGTTCATTCCTTAAATGGCTACTAAGGTCAGATCTGGGCTAGGCCAAAGCTGGGAGCCAGGAACTCCATCTTGGACTTCCATGTGGATGGCAGCCACCCAAGTACTTGGGGCATGTTCCACTGCCTTTTCAGGCACATTAGCAGGAAGCTGGATCAGAAACCCAGAAATGGGGACTTCAATAGGCATTCAAGTATGGGATGCCAGTGTCACAAGTGGTGGCTTAACCTCCTGTGCCACAATGTTGTCCTCAGCTACTATTTCCTAGAATACTCTTGAGCTGGGGCTGGTGTTGTGTCATAGAGGGTTAAGCCACTCTGACATCAGCATCATGAATGGGTGCCAGTCTATGTCCTGGGTGTTCTACTTCCAATTCAGCTCCCTGCAGGTGCAACTGGGTAAGCAGTGGAAGATGCCACAACTACTTGAGACCCTGCCACCCACTTGGGAGACCTGGTAGAAGCTCCAGGCTCCTCACTTTAGCCTGGTCTAGCCCTGGCCATCACAGCCATATGGGCAGTGAATCAGCAGATGGAAGACCTCTCTCTGCTTCTCCTTCTTTCTCTGTAACTCTGCCTTTCAAATAAAAAATGTCATTTATTGTTATTATTTATTTGAAAGGCAGAGTTACATAGATAGATAAGAGACAGAGGGACAGAGAGAGAGGTCTTCCATCTGCTGGTTTACTCCCCAGATGGCCGCAATGGCCCGAGCTGTGCCGATCCGAAGCCAGGAGCCAGGAGCTTTTTCTGGATCTTTCCATGTGGGTGCAGGGGCCCAAGGACTTGAGTCATCTTCTACTGCTTTCCCAGGCCATAGCAGAGAGTTGGATCGGAAGAGGAGCAGCCGGGACTAGAACCCGTTCCCATATGGGATGCCGGCACTGCAGTCCAGGGCTTTAACCCACTGCACCACAGCGCCGGCCCCTCTGTCTATATTTTGACACAGTTTATATAATTACAATGATGCTAATGTTGGATCTTCTATTACTATTGCAAAGATTCCCGAGGCCTTGTTAAATATTTCAGTGTATTTTCTTTCTGCTGTTAAAATTGAGTAAATTCTACTGATCTGTCCTAAAGTCCATGGAGTCCATCTTTTGTCACTTCCATTTCCATCCTACTATTGAGCCTATTCAGCAAGGTTTATTTTATTTCTGCTATTAATCAGTCCTGTAATTTTTGGTTCTTTTCAATAATTTCTATTTCTTTAGTGATGTATCTAGTTTTTTTCCCCCATTTTTCTCAAGACAAATTTTAACTGATTATTGAAACAGTTTTATGGCAGCTTCTTTCAAACTCTTGTCAGGTAACTCTAACATCTGAGTCACCTTGATACTAGCAACATTTCAGTCAAATTTTGACTCTCTTTATGTAACCAGAACAAATATGTCTTCCCTTCTATCTTTTCACATTTTCACTAGCACAAACTAACTACTCGTTTTGTGACTTATCCTGTGACTAGTCTTGTGACCTAACTACTTGCCTAAGTATTTCAGGACCCACTGTCTTCCAAGATCCCACAACTGCCATTTCTCTTTTAAAAGTCTTCCCTTGCTAGCTTGCAAATTGGAGAACAGCATATTTGGGAGCCCAGAGTCTGCCTCCCTCTGGGCAGCCACACTAGCTAAGGCACTGTCTCCTGCATTGGCTCCTATCCGGCACCCGTAGGCAGGCCTAATTTTGCTCTGGTAACACTTATTCTCGGTATGACAGGGGGTTTTCACTTGTAACCTGGACATTTTATTCTGTCGGGGGATGCTCAATCCTATTTCAAGCGTTTACTTGACATCAGTCTGCTCAGGTCCTAGACTACTTACGTGACCTGTGATTCCAATGGCAGTTTATTTTAATATTTGTAGCCATTCAACATCATTTTGATGTGCTCTGTTTATCTGGTGCTCCTATGGCTGCCAGCAGTCTCCATCCATGGTCCTGAGAGGGTGGAAGGAGGAAGTTCCCCTAGACTGGATGCTCAGTATAGCTGGCAGGGGCGGGAGGCTTGGAACTCCTATGGGGATGAAGAGGTTTCTTAGGCAGAAGTTTGTTGTAATAAAATCCCTTTTACCCCAACTCCTGGCAACATACGTTTCCTGCATAAAGCAGAGCCTCAGCCCCTCAGGAACAAGAAAGATTCCTGGACCAGGCGCTAGTTCATGGTGGATGTGTCTTTCTTGTCAGCTTCAGTTACTGGAGTGGGTACAGTCAGTCATGTGCTTCCAGCTTATTGCTGATAGAACACTGACTCAATGCTTTTTTTTTTAAAGATTTATTTATTTATTTGAAAGTCAGGCTTACAGAGAGAGAGAGAGAGAGAGGTCTTCCATCTGCTGGTTCACTCACCAGTTGGCCACAATGGTTGGAGCTGTGCCAGTCTGAAGCCAGGAGCCAGGAGCTGCTTCTGGGTCTCTCACGCAAGTGCAGAGGGGCCCAAGGATTTCTACTGCTTTCCAAGGCCACAGCAGAGAGCTAGATCGGAAGTGGAGCAGCCGGGTCTTGAACTGGCCCCCACATGGGATGCTGGCACTGCAGGTGGTGGCTTTGCTCACTACACCACAGCACAGGCCCCAAGTCACAAGGCTTCTTGCCCATGGTATAGCAGTGTAGAGCCAGCCATATGTGACAGCAAGTCATAGTGATGCCATAGTGAGCTTCACTGTCTTAGAAGAAAGCTGACCTGTTAGCCCAAAGACAGTCATCAAACTATAGTGTTGTCACAAAGCTTACCCATGTTTAAAAGGACCAGCAAGATGGCTTAGGTGATGATTCCTAGAGAATGCCAATAGTGTTGTGACACAAGTTCCAACCTCCTTTATCTTTCGTAAAATTATAAAATATTGTTTCTTTTATCTTCTGCATGGAATAAGCTTTGCTGCAGCTATGCCCAAACCACCAGCCACCTGCTGCCCAGAACTAAAACTCCATTGATCAGTTGCCCTAACAAGCTCTCTTCTTTCTCTCTCTCTCTCTTTCTTTCTTTTTTTCTTTCTTTCTTTGAAAGGCATAGTTACAGAGAGGCAGAGGCAGAGGCAGAGGCAGAGGCAGAGAAAGAGGTCTTCCATTGATTGTTTCACTCCCCAGATGGCCGCAACAGCTGGATTGTGCTGATTGGAAGCCAGGAGCCAGGAGTTTCTTCTGGGTCTCCCAAGCAGCTGCAGGGGTCCAAGGACTTAGGCCATCTTCTACTGCTTTCCCAGGCCATAGCAGAGAGTTGGATCAGAAATGGAACAGCCGGGAGTTGAACTGGTGCCAATATGCAGGCAGTGGCCTTAACTGCTATGCCACAGCACCAGCCCTGAGCTCTCTTATTTCTGGATGATACTTCCTCCTGTGTCGTTTGGTCTCAGGATCCCCGCTCTGTGTGCCAACACTACATCTGCACATGCTACTTGCTTGCTGCAATTGCTGAGACGTCCTTGCATTCCAGGGCAGAGATGAGTGAGTTTTCCTGGGTTGCTTTCTGTTGCTAGATTAGGTATCAGAAAATGTGAACTGTCTTCCTTGTTAAGCTTCAGGATTTTAGGGTTTGAAGAAGTCAAAGAGGAGGCTAAAGTAGAAAATACTCTACTTTAGAGGAGATGGAAGGGGGGGGTGGTGGTGGTAAAGAGGGTGGGGATTGAGCCTGCCTGGACAGAGGGTGGGGTTGAAGCCACGCTTCATTCCATCTGAGCAGCAGGCAGAATCCCTTCTAAAGATGCTAGCTGGGGGAGGTGCAGAGTACCACATGGACCCTCATAAGGTGGATGGGGGACTTGCAGAAAGCATCCTTGATGAAGTTTAAAAAGCATTGTCTCAGCAGTTTGGAATGTCCTAGGTGAGGGGCTTTCTCAGCATTAAACATTCCACTAGCCTGTAGATTATCTATCCGCCAGGTCCCAGTGGCCCAACAGATTCCAACATCCACCTTCATCCGCCAGGCAGGCATATCACTGGAACAACATTAGGCACAGTTCAGGATGCTGGGCAGTCAGTGCATCAGAGACGAGCATCAGTGTAGGCAGACAGTGCCTTCATTAAGAGTGGTCACCTTGAGGAATGCAGACTCTGTGCCCCCAACAGACTCTTTCCCCAAATTGCAAGCTAGCACGAGGGCTTACAAGGGAGAAAGTGCAGTTGTAGGTGGGCAGGGAAGACACTGGGTCTCAAAGTTCCTAGGCAAACAGTACAAATCCCAAGATGAGGCATGAGATAAGAGTTAAAATGTGAAAAGAAAGGGAGTTTCATTTGTTAAGGTTTCAGGCAGACATAAGACATTATTGCTCCACTATTCTTCCAGACTTAGATCCCAAACCAGTTCCCCTTCCTCTGAACACTTTCAGAGTTCTCCACTGGCTGCCTCTCAGATTTGAACTGATTCTAAACCATCTTGCCCTGGCTGTCTCCTAACAATTGCATTTGGGGTTCCAGTGGAGTCCCCAGAGAAAACGCCACATGGTGTACCCTTTCTACTTATAGCTAATCTCTGGGAAGTTCCCGCAGCTTCTGCCACTGTTACTCCTTTACATTGTTCCTCTGGAGTCTGCACTTCGTGGAGTACAGCCCAGGGATATGGCTCAGATAGGCCCACCTCCCAGAACCATCACTCATGGAAAACTCACACACACCCAGATGCAAGATGGAAAGGCAGTCAGTATCCACTGCTCCCTTCTTTCCATGCTATGGAGTTATGAGTGGCCCCACCCAGCCTCTGCCTTCTGTTATCAGCACACTCTGGGCTTCTGTAAGCTTCCAAACTCCTAGGACCCAAGACAGGTTCTTAAGGAACCCTCTCATGGGATGCCGCTTGGGAAGTCTCAATCTGTAAGCATTAGGAAGTGAATATGAGCCAGTCTGGTCTTAAACACGTCTGGTATCCAAATGTGGTTCTTTAGGTGACTTTATCATTTGCTGTTGAGTTATGGGCAAAGCAACTCCCTCCAGGGAGAGAAAGAGAAACTAAAGCACCCACTCTTCTTCTACCCACTCTCAATTAAATTTGCTCCTTCATTGAATTTCATTTTCTGCTTATCTGGGCTTTTGAGGATGGCAATTTAAAGTCTTTAATATGCGATACATGGGTGATCTCTTTTTGAGAACACACAGGTAATTGTTGTCTATTGTCAAATTTGGGGATTTATCATCAGAAGAGTCCCATTCAGAACTCTGAGATGAATTTTGAGGATTTCAATAATAAATAAGGAAATAGTCATACCGCCATTCCAGTTCAGGCCATATTAATTTTTTTAATATTAAAGCCACAAAATGCAACATGGAGAATATACCCAGTAGTCACTTATACTTCCAACTTGGGTTTAAAAAATATACTAAAAATCCTAGGATGTGCTTAACAAGATATTGTGTATAGACAGTACATAATATAAATCTTATTTGGTTTGATGCATTAGCATTTTCTGTTTTTAAAAGTTTACCAATAATATTTGTGAAGGAGTTTTTGCAAATCTAAGACTCTCCTTGGAAAAACACTACAAATGCTGGTTTTTGGCTTACAGTCAAATATAATATTTTCACAAGACCCAGAAAATACAGTTGCAGAAACTGCTTTTCTCCATTGGATGCAGTTAAAAATTTCTGGCACAAACTCTTTAATAATATTGTGGCCTCTGGGAAGTTGGCCAGGGCCGACTATAACCAACGACCGTGCCACACCATCCCATTTTTCTGCTTAAAGAGTCAGCCGCTGCTGATTGGATTAGCTCTGGGGTGTCCTAGCAGGTTCCAAATGAAAGTTGTTTTTGATCTTAGGCATTTGCTGCCTCATCTTCCAAGGGTGAAATTTCCATGGTACTGATGTTGTAACCATCACAAATGCATCTTTCTTTCTTTTAGCATTTTACCTAACAAAAGCTAAGTATTAATCTTGTCACTTGCCCCTGTGAGTAGTCTTGTCCTTCTACTATTTGTCGAAGGATTTCGGGACCCATCTGTCTTCCCTAGCCTCCCACAGGTGCTCTTTCTCCTTTAAAAGTCATCCTGCTGGCTTGCAAATTGGGGGAGAGCCTATTCGGGAGCAGAGTCTGCCTTCCCAAAGGTGGCCACTCTAATAAGCACACTGTCTCTCATCTCTGTGTAACTGGGTGGAAAGTTAACAGAAGCAGGCAATGTTACCACCGAAATGTAAAGAGAAGCCAATGCTTCAGGGCTGGACTGCTGGCTTCTTGCTTACCCATGTCCTAAAGCGTAAATTGCCTTGTTCCTCATTTCAACTTCTTTTCCAGAGCAGGAGAACCTTGTCATGCTACATAGAATCTCAAGGCCTTCAAGGACCACCATGACAAGTGCATTGTCATCAACCCACTGACACCTGACACCAGAGATCTGCAGCTCTTTCATGGTTTTGTTGTGGGAGAGGTGAAGCCTAAATTCCTATTCTAGGTCCTTGCCTTTTACCTAGAGAAGCATTCTAGGTACAGACACATATTTGGTGCACAAAATGATAAAGTTAATTTGAATGGTAAGAAAAACATACACATGGTAGGCATAGAGTGGGTCAGGAAGGGAAAAGGATGGGGGGAGAAAGTAGAGAGACAGTGCCTCAGCATCCTGAGAGAGAGAGAGAGAGCGAGAGAGAGCAAGCAAGCCTCTCCCAGTTATCCGCCTCTTACATGAAGTTGGAAGGAGAGTGGCTATATGGTACCTTCCCCAGGCCATGGGTGAAGGGTGATACATCCTGGGAAAGGGGTTACTTGACTGACAGCTAGGCAGGTTGGATTACATATGGTGGGGCAGGTGTGGCTTCCAGGCTGCAGTATCCCACATCAATTTTGTCATATCAGTACTGCCTTCATTGTAGCCCCTTTTTAAGCCCCAAACACAGTCTTTCAGCAGAGCAATAGTCCTTGGGACTCAGAAGTCTGCTACACCCTCATTTGTTGACAGATTGAATATTCTCTCTCCTTTTCCTCCAAACCTCGTCCTCATGATTTTGACTGGCACCGGGGACAGGGGCTGAGCTTTTGATAATATCTGGTGTAGGGATTACCCAGCAGCCAGCAGCCCAGGCCTAATTTCATTCCACTAACAAAGGATCTTATATAAGTCTTGTCTTGTTTCTGTTGAGAGTTTATCGTGTGACTGACAAAGTAAAGGCAGAGTTCCAGCTCAGCCGGGAACCAGAGCAGTGAAAGAAGAGGACCCTCATCAGGTGAGTGCCAATCACTTGTGAAGTACCAGATGCCCCCTGCACAGGGAGACCCAGATGGGGCAAGGGTGTGACACTGGATGGGAGCTGATATTGTTGTCACAAGATTAGGTCCAGGCTCTTCAATGCTGAGCAGTCAGTACACCAGAGATGAGAGCTGTTGCAGGGAGGAAGTACCTTAATGTGAGTGACCACTGGGAGGAAGGCAGACTCTGTGCTCCCAAAAATGTTCTTCCCCAATTTGCAAACCTGCAAGGTGACATTTAAAGGAAGAAGGGCCATTGTGGGAGATCAGGGTAGAAAATGGGTCCTGAAATTCTTAGACAAATGGTGCAAGTCACAAGACTAGTCACAGGTAAGTTACCAGACTAGCAGCTTGTTTCTGTTAGTTAAACTATGAAAAGAAAGGAAGGAAGGAAAGATGGGTTTGTTGCACCTTATATGTCTACTGAATATGAAGAAGAGAGCACTGGGAAGGAAACAATGCTATTGGATGTAATCAGTTATTGTTACATAAACAAGAGTCCACCAGCAACAGGGAAGTTGCAGGGCAGACTGAGAAATGCATATTTGCACCTGTGTGCAACCCATGGAACATTATACATAATCTGCTACATTTGAATCAGGAATAAGATGGATTTTACAGTATTATAGAATTAAATATGGGGGCCAGGGTATGGCACAGTGGGTTAAAGCCCCAGCCTGCAGTTTTGGCGTCCCATATGGGTGCCAGTTTGAGTCCTGGCTGTTCCTCTTCTGATCCAGCTTTCTGCTATGGCTTGGGAAAACTATAGAAGATCACTTAAGCGCTTTGGACCCTGCACACATGTGGGAGACTTGGAAGAAGCTCTTGGCTCCTGGCTTTGGAATGGCCCAGCTCCAGCTCTTGCGGTCATTTGAGGGGTGAACCAGCGGATGGAAGATCTCTCTCTCTCTCTCTTTCTCTCTGCCTCTGCCTCTCTGTAACTCTGCCTTTCAAATAAATAAATAAATCTTTAAAAAAAGAATTAATCATGGAAATTGAGTAAATTAAAGCAGACAAGAAATTTCCTAAGTATTGGTAAAATATACGCAAAATATAGTATTTTTTGAAAAGCAATTTATTCAAGAAACCAAGGTCAGCTGAATTCACCAAGGTGTGTTCAATTCTACTTCTCATTTTTTTATTCTCATAAACAATGTGCCCTCGGGAGAGTAAGGGAAAATATATTTGAAGTGTTAACAGTAGAATAAACACAAGGAAATCGTTAAACAAGACCAGTCTTGAGAATTGACATCTAACCCATGTGTTTTAGGCGTCTGTTAAAAATTCTCTGTGAGGTTTAGACTTGGAGTGAGGAGTCACGGTTCCTGGATTCTTAAACAACAGAAGCTCAAATTGGAAGAATGGTCTGCTATGCCAGAGACAAAAAGCTTTCCGATTTTAAATTAATGGAAACATATAATAAATTGGGAAGAAAATGAAATTGACTCCAAAATAATCTAATTTATACCTCTGTAATACTCAAGAGCATAGTGCATCTGAAGTTCAAATCAGTTTCCCAGAGTAATCCATAAGATAAGCAAGAATTTAAAAAATAAAAACAAGAATGTCTGGAACTATAGGATTAACTATTCTATAGCTGAGAGCAGAGAAGTCACAGGTTAAGCCCAGTTCAGATCCTGTCTACTCTGTCAATTAGGAAGGGCACATGGCAGGAAGCTAGGGCTGGTCTTGGGTCCTCCTCTGCACATATTCAGTTAATCAATTAGTCCGGCTAATCCCACTGATTTAACTATCCCAAATATATTGACTTTTTCTCATCCCTTTGTCTAATCTCTACTTGGCAATATTTTTCCAAACTGTGAATTAGCTCTCTTCAATTGATTAAAACTTTTCAATTAATCCTTCGTACTCTCTGAGTCAAGTTCATGACTGGCCTACCTCTTAGCTTGTACTTTGCACCCTGCCCCTCCCCACCACCACCCAGAGCTGGGCTTTTCTTATCTTACATCAGCATTAGTGTCACCTCACACTCTACCAAATGGCTTTGCTCACTCCTGCCTTGGGCCTTTGGTAAACATCCCTGGCTTCTCCTTCCTCTTTCCTCTATTTGACCTGAGACTCATCCGTCCACACCTGGCATAGAAACCGTCTCTTGGGAGACTTTCTCTGGGACAGGGAGGCTGACCCACCCCAGCTCGGTAAGGTGCTCTTCCTTTGCATTCCCATGACACCCTGTGGATTGCCCTTTCACAGTGTAGCCTAGCCTAGCATAGTTTAGCACAGGGTTCCCCTTCTAAAGAGAAAGCCCCTTAGGAAAAGGGCCTGTGTCTTGCTTGGTGACCAGCCATATCAGTGCTGTCCAGCACAGCATGTGACAGGTGCAGGCATTCCATACATATTAGCTGAGTGAAGTGATTCTTAACTTGCATTTTATAGCAATGGCATGGCATCCCCACGCCAAATAGATAGTGCAGGAAACATAGCACCATATTAAAATGCCAGAAAAATAAGCTCCAGAGGAATTATACTGCAAGACAATCAGGGCTGAAGATGACTTCATAGACCCTTTTATAAAGACTTTAAATCATTGAAGGTCTTCCTAAATGGTGAATGTAATGTTGCTCTTCCAATGTCCTTAGATTTTTATTAAGAATATTTATTTTATCCATAATTTTTGAAAGTAATAAAAATAGGAGAACAATTCTGAATAGGTTTCAAAACAGAAGCATGGAGGAAAAAAATCACCTGTGACTACTTGCACACACTAATTATCTGCCATGTTTTTCCTTCAGTATATATATATATATATATATATTTAAAGATTTATTTTATTTATTTCTAAGACAGAGTTCAGAGAGAGGTAGAGACAGAGAGGGGTCTTCCATCTGCTGGTTTACTTCCCAGTTGGCCACAATGGTCAGAGCTGCATTGATTCAAAGCCAGGAGCCAGGAGCTTCTTCCAGGACTCCCACATGGGTGCAGGGGCCCAAGGACTTGGGCCATCTTCCACTGCTTCCCCAGGCACAGCAGAGAGCTGGATTGGAAGAGGTGGAGCTGGGACTTGAACCGGTGCCCATATGGGATGCCAACGTTCCAGGCCAGGGCTTTAACCCGCCGTGCCCCAGTGCCAGCCCCTCCTTCAGTATATTTTTAAAATATGCTATAATTAAGTGAAATCCTTCAGATATAATCTGTATGTCCATGAATTTACATATATAAATGTGTGACTATGCACATAAACTCCACAAAGCATAAATATGTTCCTGCTACATGTATTCTACTAACTTGGTGGAAAGGAGAGGAAGGGTCCAGGACAATCATTTTTGCTTGTGGGTGTCACAGAGGAGGTGGTAGATTAGTGTGGACAGCAGCTGAGGCAGGATTTGTGGTTCACACAGTCCTGATCATTGTAGGGCAGCAGCTGCCTTGGCAGTCTACTCTCTGCAGTGTGGTTCCCTGGAGTGTTTTTTGTTAGTCCTAACAATGATTCAGCAAACCACTTATTACTCTGTCACTTCTCTTTCTCATTAAACTAGATGGATTGTTTTCTCTTTTCTGTTGAACTTAGAGTTGTACATTCCTCTGCTTGTTGACTTCCCAAATGTTGGAGTGATTTTCTTGGACCCAGTATTATTTTATTTTGGAACGTGGGAAAAAGAATCCTTTTCTCTTCTCTTGGAGAGAAGAGGAACAAGCTGCCTTCATCCTCTATAGGTTTACAATCTATTGAATGATTCTCTTGTCTTCCAGAGATGGGCAGGATACTTGGGTATAATCAGTTCAGTATAATCACTTAGTGACACTGAAGTGGGTGCCTGGCCTTCAATTATTTTGGCTCTTTTTATCATGAAGAATATTTTACATTCAGCAATTGATCCAGTTTGCCAACAAGACAAAGAAATTCCATATGGCTGTTTTAGGAACCATTGAAGACATACTGGTCAAGAGGTAATACAATGTCTTCTTTCTAGAAGACAAAGAGAGGTGAACTGATGCAGATTGTACAGTACATGAGCTTTTGTTGGTGGTGGGTGAAAAAGGGAGCTGTGACCAAAATATTTTCCAAGCCTCCAGTTTGAATTAATAGGTGTCATCATTTCTTGAGCGAGGATGGCTGAGAGTGAGGCAACACTCACAAGCTTGAGATGCCTGTGAGATGGGCAAGTAGTGACAAGAACAGAGGCTGGACTGCAGAGATAACATTGGAAGTTCTATGTATATTATTTGAAACTAGTAGATGAGATTGTTTCAAGAGAAGAAAAGAATATGAAGGAAGAAAGTAGTTTTCATCCTTCTGTTTGCTTTACATTTAACAAATTTATGTCATTTATTTATTATATGTTATCATAATTAAAATAAGCCAACAGTGAGGAAATGAAGTGATTGAAGATATCGTGGTCAAATTGAGTTGTCTGAAAACGGAGAAGAAAGAGGATTTAGAATATGTGAGGGAGGATTGGTTTTCAGTTGCAAAGGGCCCAATTTTTCATTGTAACAGGAAGAGAAGTGGGATGGTTGGCTACAGGTGCAGATGGCTGTGTAGACACAGGTGTAGGAAGTCAAAGTCATTCCCATCTGGTAGCTGGGGATCAGTAAGGATTCACGAGCCACATGTAACTTGCTATCCGAGAATGTGTCTTCTTTTCCTGAAAGTGTGAAACAGACATAGTCCATATTCGTATGATTTTTTGAGTAGAAATTTTATCAATAGTTCTTTTTCAACTATTCATTAGAAGCCTGTATTTCCTGAAGGTCTAAAAGAATTCCTTCCATATGCCCATGACCCTCAGTGAATCAAAGGAAAAAAACCCTCAAAGGTTGCAAAACTTCATAGTACATAGCACTTTTGAAAATAAAGAAGACAAAAGTACACACCTAGTAGTAATTGTCAGAAAATTTTATTTCAAATCAGAGCAATTCTCATTGGAAGGATATTTAACCTTTCATACCCCTTTATTAAAATTATTTTCAAAAGCTACCCACTCTGAGAATACTGACATGGTCTAGGCAGATAACT